ACTAGTGGCAAGTGTAGATTAGAGAGAGTATACTAGAAAATTAAATAGTTCAGCTGCCTTAATTACAGTATTTAATGTTCATACAGACTGTGCAGTGAGGAGATCTGCAAGAAGTATTTATAGGGATGGACAAAAAAGCCTTCTGGTGTAGAAAAGGCTCTGACAATCTCTCTTTTGTTAATCCAGACTTAGTTTGTACAGTAAGAAACCTTCAGCTGCATATTTTATTCAAAACCAGAAATGTTTCCAGGTTAAATTTGGTCTTTACAAAATTGCAAAACACACTTTTTAATGATAACATTACAGAATGTAATTTCAATCTTCACCTTACAAGGACATTAACTGGACAATCAAAAGAAAAGCTATTTACCCAGACATTAACACTCCTGTCCACAGGATTTGCAGGTGGTTCTGCCTGATGGTTTTCAGTACATCTGCGATTATTATCAAGCCATTTTTGGAGGCATGTTGAAAACACGATCCTAAACATTATCAAGCAGCAAACTATTATGATAACAAGATAAAAAGAGATGTCCATGATTAGAACTTGTTTTAAAAAGAAATCTGCTACTAAATGTATCATTAACACATTAGTATTAAATTACAGTAGACATTTCAGGGCACGATAGAGCAATGCCTTATATATAGTTATATCTCCTAACCTTATGTCTGTATTTCCTCTTTTAAGACCTTATTATAGAGACTAATTATTCTGAAACATTTTTATTTATCCTGTCAAATAGGTGTCAGATACTTTATGACACTTTTTCAGATGCTCTGAACATCAGCAGATCCCCTTGACTGAGGTGGGAAGCTTGGATCTTTAGAAGTTATGGGAAAGAAATCTTCTGCAACACCAACTCAAATAATTCTCCCTTCTCCCTCACAAGCATAAAACCTTATTATTAAGGTAAAGTTAAAAAGCCTACAGCCTCATAGTGAGATATGGTCTCACGTTTTCTATGACTCCTAAAGAAAAACTCCAATATGAGCACTCCTATTCCTCTCTCGTGGGTAGCTAAGCAGACAGAATTGAAATATGAGTTTACTTCCCTAACAGAAAAGGCTTCCCCAGAGCTCAGTGAGAATAATTTTAAAATGATGGAAGTGGGGAAACTAAAAGATGCCTGCAGCACGACTTGCACTTCTTTACAATGTAAAAATTATATTTGTCTTTATAGAGGAAGGTAATGGCGATACTGGAAACAAAGCCAAATGGTTATATTTTAATTTGCCTGCCATTTCATCCACTAACGATGCAGCCTGAAATGCCTGGTCAGTAGGCTATCATTAACATGGAATTATCTATCAAAATGAGTTTCATTTTAACAGGCAAGGTAACATGATGAACTAAGGGATCTCTTAGGAAATCTTGTATTTTTCCTTTAAGACAAAGATAACTGGCTACTTTTCCATTCAAGATCAAAGAAGGGAAATAATATAAGGAGACAAAGACAGAAAAAAAAGAGAGACAGACCATTTGAAGCTTCATTTTTCTCTCTAACATTTTATCTTTTAGATCAGTACAATCACTAGATTCACCCTATAGAGAAAGAAGATTAAAAAAAAGGGGGTTATGTATGGCCAAAAAGAACTCTGGGCAACTTCGCTGATGTGTTTAAAGCTACTGTACTTTACAGTTCTTATTTCAGAAGTAAAATGAGAAACAAAAAACAAAGCACTTCTGATCCTCAAAGCAATGTCTGACCAATAATAACTTCATAGCACTTGATAGTCAAGTATCATAATCTGTATTTTATTCCAGGAGAGAAATATGTGTAGAGAGTAAGTGAACTCTCTGGGTCTAACACTGAATCAGGGATGGAACTCAAAACACCACAAGCTTGTATGTTAAATGACAAAACCATGCTTTCATTTAGCTGTTAGTTCTTTTGTTACCAGTTTTTATTTGAACAAATTATTATTATAATAAATAGATTATGGAGGTTTTTTCCAGCCACCGCAGAAACATTTGAGATACTACTGGAGGTGTATCCCAGGATTATTTGGCAAAATATTCAACACAGCACACCAATTAAGATTAATTTCAGAGGCACAGTCAGTTAACCACTTCAAGTAGGTTACTTCAGTAACTATTTGCTACTTGGCATATTGAATATTGCAGTAATATTGGTCCTTGATCTCAATCTCATCTCTGTCCATCTACATCACAAGAGATCTCTTTTCAAGTGCAGAAGGAGCACGTCAAGAAGATAATCAGTCAACGGTCAGTTTAATAGGAATTTTACAACTGCCTGCAGTATAGAAACTTTGAAAAAATCCTGAAGTATTTGCAAATCAATTAAAAAAAGAGTTTCTCCTGGAAATGTATACCTCTCCAACCACAAGGAAAAAGATTTCCATATCATTGTACTGTAAACTTACTGTGATTTGTGGAGTGCTGAAAGATTTAATTTACATACTAATGCTGTAAGCAGGATGGGGGGCTGTGGGGGCAGAACAGTAACTTAGCACCAGTAATGAGCAGAAAGGAAAAGGTAGCTACAGTCCCCACGAACTGTTTTGTTTGCAATAATTTTAGACTGTCTAATAACACCTTTTAATAAGCTGCTCTCAGCTATAAAGCTGCAATCAGCCTTTGTCAGAGAACATAATACTGCCCCAGACAGGAAAATAGTTCTGAAATGATGAACAAAAGACTCCATCTAAATAAAAGCTTCTTTAAAAAAAGCAGAAAAACGTTCCATCAGACAAATTCTGCTGTCTATAGTGTGTAGCGCTTCATTTCTAAAATACTAGATTTCAAGAGGATATCTATTAAAGCAAAATACATTCTAAAAACCACATTTTCTGGTTTACTACTCCAGTCCTAGTTTACAATTAGATGAACTTACCATATAAGTGCAATCTAAATTATGACTGATCATGTTAATTTTCTGTTTATAGTCTATGCTACCCACTTAGTCTCCAAGTGACTACTATGACACTGAGATTAACCTGGCAATAAGCTATCCAAATGTAAGACTATTTCCACTCCACTCAGTTTCAGGGCAGCTCTCACTGGAGATCAAATCTAGTTATAAAAGCCTATGACAGGTAAAACACCAATGTTCTACTCCATTAAACACAGGATTCCTCAAAACAATGGGTCACCCTCACTGCTGACAAACACAGGTCCAACTCCACTGTTCCCAAAAACAGCCATGCCACCGTAAGCTGGAATTTAATCTAGCCAACATTTGGGTTTAAAAGTTGGTTTATAAACCATTACTAATTCTAAAAGAATTCAGTATCATCCTTTTATCAAAGATATTTTTTAATTTTTATATTTCAAATCACTAACAAGAGAGAAACAGTAACTTTTTTCCTAGGAATTCTGATCTTTCCAGCAACAGACTTACTGCGGATGACAGTTACCACATTTTACAGATCAGTTCAGAAACATCCCTAAAACTTAAATAAGACACGTTGTTAAAAAAAATACCCATACACCACAACCAGTACAAAATCTGTTTGTCCTAAAGATACACCTATCACCTTAGCAATACAGACAGAGATCTGTTGAACCACTTTTTAATATCATTTGCTGGAGAGTTAGCATAAAGCACTGGGGCCTTTGGTTATTGTACTATGCCCTCATTTAAAGAAAAAATAAACTTAACACTTAGAAAAATCAGATAATTTGCGGAGTTTAAGCAGCAAAACAGTAGCTTTCTTCTCTTTATATAGTTCTGCCCCACCTTATGGGAAAGGGAACGGACTGTATCTGTGACTGACAAGCCACACTTTCTCTGAGGGGTGCCAGATAATAATAGCACGTCAACACGCTCACAGCCAAATGCTCCTTTTGCCAATGAGATTTCATAACGCTTCCTCCACTTCTGAAGCTCTCCAAAGAAAGGAAATGCTAACTCCCTGTTAAGACATACAGGCCAAAGGACCCCAAACCGTCTAATGCTTGAACTGTTTTTGCACAGAAATAGAGGGAAGTTACTTTTTTTGCAACTTTTTTACCTTTTTTTTTTTTTCCAGCTAGAAGCTGTATGTTTCTCTAGCTAATGGTAAAATAAGAAGGGCAACAGGTATGAAATTCAATTAAGAAATGCCTTTTTTTGTTGTTGTTGTTGCCAATATCATTAGATCAGCACCTGAATATATACCAAGGGTATAAGAGACCTGAAATGCACATTTCTCAAGCTGAAAAAATCCTCAATGAAATATAGCCTTCCAATCAGTTCAGAGAAAATGCTAACAAGTACTGGATTAAAGTGGGAAGCTGCCAGTACTTTAAGAACAAGATCCCTAACACTGATTTTACAAAAAATAGTTTATCAGGAAGTTAAACACACATCTAGAGTCCCAAGTAGTTTCTCCACGGTCAGAGCTAAAAATTCAACAATATGAGATTTTAAATCCTCCTACACCCTGAGATTATTCAGGATTCTAACTTCCCTGCAGAGGCACAGACCCTCCCCTCTTCACAGCACCACTATCTGATAAATAGACTGAGCAACACTTGCACTGATCATGTCATGAGAGCTTTTCTCCCCCTTTTAAACTTGTTTCTACTTGCAAGCTATTTCATGCTGCCTCAGAAATACTGAGAAATAATGGTAGCATGTAGTTGTACACCCAGAGCTAAAGTAAGAGGTCACAGAAAGGGCTTCTCACTGCCATTTCCTAGCAATTCCCTGTCATTTCAATACACAAGGTTAAATTACTCCAGAAGCCTCCCTACAGGACTTCCATTGTTTGTCTGTCAAGGCTCAGACACAGTGGCACTCATTCATGAAGCAGCGAAGGGCCAATGATCAGCATACAGTCTCATTTTGGTTCTTCTGCAAACAGTTTGCAGAAAGATGGCATTTCGAATAAACTATGACAATTTCTCAAAGCTTCAATGCTTTCCTAGTACACACTACTTACTAGGGAGTGCAGACAAAAATTAAGACAACTTGAGAGCAATGTGAAGAATCACCCAAAACCCCACTCCCTCATTAGGGCTGCTCCTGAGAAAGATCAGCTTGCTACAACCACATGCAAAAAGGTTATGTTTTAATAGTTAGAGAAATACACATTCAGAAAAGTTCAAAATAGCTGATTCTTTCCGAAGACAGGCATACCATGCTTTTGTTTTTAGAGTACCACTTAATGATCAGCCCCAGAATGAACGTTACTAAGGTGTACAGACACCAAGGTTCCAAAGTGCACTTAAGGCTGTTTACTTCATATCTTCTGGTTAAGAACCCAAGAGGTTTAGGGTTTGGGGTTGGTTTTGTTTTTCTTTTTTTCAACATGTTAAAAATAGAAAAAACAAATGTAATATGACAGAAGTCCAATGCTGCTGATAACTGGAGAGACACAAGCCTCACGCACCTCTTCACTGTTTTGCTTTTTCTACTTCAAAACTTGCTAGAGCAAAGACTTTGTCTCCTGATCCTACGAGAGGAAAAAACATTTTCAGTATTAGTAGAAGTCGTGAATTCCCTTATATACAATTTAAATCAAGCAAAACATTTGAGATCAAAAGAAAACAAACTTACATTTTGAAAACTAGAGCACTTGAGCTAGTTTTGTTTGGGTTTTTTTTTTTTTTTTTAAAAGGAGACATACTGGCTTGACAAGTCTGAAACCAGCCATGTTGTATTGGGTCTGGCTGGGACGGAGTTAACTTGCCCCACTGTATGTGCTCTGTATTTCTAGCTATAATGGCACTGATAACACACTGATGTGTTGGCTACTGCTGAGCAGTGCTGGCACAGAATCAAGACTCTCTCACCCCCAAAAGCCAGTAGGCTTGAGGTGGGCAAGAGGTTGGGAGGGGACACGGCCAGGACAGCTGACCCAAACTGCCCAGAGGGAGAGTCCATACCCTAAGACACCACACTCAGCAACAGAAGCTAGAAGAAAGGAGGAAGTGGGGAATTAAGGCATTTGTCTTCCAAAGGAACTGCTACACATACTGAGGACCTACTTCCTAGATAGTGACTGGACAGTGCCTGCTGATGGGAAGTCGACAAGAAATCTTGTTTTCTTTTGCTTTTCTTTATTAAACTGCCTTTGTCTTGACGCTCAAGTTTTTAATTTTATTTTCTCTCTCTGTCATGCTGAGGAAGAGGAATGAGAGAGCAGCTTGGTGGGCACCTGGTGGCCAGCCAAGGTCAACCCTCAACACACACAGAGAACTTCTAAGTACCCTTTTGAACAAAAGAGTTCTCACCTCACTTACACTCTCAGGAAGAGGAGTACTGAAAGGCAGGTCATAGAGACACTTTATTTGCATTAATCAGTGTTCAACAAGGCAAAGAAATGGGAAGTTTTGAGAATGAAAACTTACCAAGGTCAGTGGAGACTTTCTCAAACTGGCTGAGGGCTGCACCAGCATTTGCTGATAAGAACATCTCATCATCTGAAGTGAGCTAAATCAGAAAAGGACAAAACCGTGAGCATCGTACCTTAACCGTGCATATTCCCACCATCTATGTGGGCAATACATGAACTATGACAGGTTACAGCAATTGCCAGTTTGCAGTTTTTAACTAGCAGTGTTATCTAACACATTAAAAGCCAAAGCAAAAATGCAAGCTCCTCCCCCTACCATTGAATTGTTTCTCAATGACACCTGTCAGCCCAGGAAGGACAGCATATGCAACATCAGACACGCCTCTACACGCACCACTAAGTTTCAAGCTGACCTCCACTGATAATTTTTGATGAGAGATCACACTGTTATCTCTGTACCAAAACAATGCAAAGGATGTCAATCACTTTTCTGTGATGTGGTCAGTACAATAACCAGCTAAGATCTAAGCTCGCTTCATATCACCTACTGAGGAAAGCAGAAACGTGCAGTCCCTACCACCTTTGACCGTGTTAAGAGTCCATGACCTAGAAATGGTTCTCTTCCTCTAGAGTGGCATTTGCACATGTATATTTTGCTTTTATGTGTGTGCTTTGATGCCTTGTAACAGAAGCCTATAAAATATTTACAATAATGAAGTAGTAACCTACATTTGGAAGGTACAGATATTCTAAGCTAAAACTCACTCATTTAAGTAGTCTCAGATATTTATCCTTATTAAGCAAAGCATAAGTGTGTCAAACTGTCCACAGTGTTTGCGTCAGTTCTTTTGTTAAAAATATAGAAATTAAGTACAGATATCCAGAATGATGTTGCAATGAAGGAAAAAGCTATTAGTTACGTGCCTTTGCCACGCTTGGGAAGCAAGCATCTAGCTACTTAATGTTTTGCAATATTGTGTAGACAAACATGTAATATTTACCATCATTTTTCACATTCAGAACGGATGTGAAACTACTGTTCTAGCAAGTCCTCTGTGAAGTAAGTTACTGACCATTTTAAAAGATAAATAGGTTACGTTGAAGTGTGGTGAAGTGGCTTGTCTTAAGTGATCCAAGGAACTCATGCCAGGAGGATTAGATATCTTCATGCATTCAGTTCACAATCTTAACTTTTAACCTATTTCCAAACCAGTTTTTTTTCTCTGATAGCCAAGCAATAAAAATATTCTGAGGGAAAGCATTTGCTAATATCATCTGCTTGGAACGTAGCTCCTTTAAGTAATGCACTTGAGCTTTTCCATTCCCTCATTTCCTAAGAAAGTTTAAGTACAGAGATAGACAGCAACCCCTTTTTCTTCTTATACCATCAAGAAGAAATAAATTCCCTTCCTCCCTCTGGTGGTAAACACAGGAATTGTTCTGCCACTTACATACGTGTTGGGGAAACTGTTTATCCCTCATCTCTCCAATTTATTCATCTTATACCAAGAGGGAGGTATTATCATCAATACAAACGTGAGTAGAGCTCAATGTCTGTCAAAGGTCTTGGATAGCTCCTGCCAGGCAGATAGCTGGTAGCTAGCCAGTAAAAGACTTTTGTAGTTTTTACACACACCATGAAATTGTACCAGCTTATACGTGATCCATTTGTAGGACCCATCAAAGAAAGCACTTTAAAGTAGAAATAGCCTTAGATAAATGTACAATATTATTTGGTAAATGTTCACTAGTGAGTGTTTCAGAAAGCTTAGCATTAAAATAGGACATTTATGTACTACAAAAGCAAGCTGCATTTTATTATTTGCTCACTTCGTATTTTTTCAAATTCCTCTTCAATATATAGATAGAAATTTCTATTTGCCTAACTATCATACCAACAACTTACCTTCTCACCAAGCTTTCTGAGGGCAGTCAGGATTTCCACTTTCTGCTGTGTGTATAGGTCTCGTCCCAACTTCCCAACCATTAAGTCTCGGTCCATCTGTATACCAGGGGCAGCGGGAAAAATAAGTCAAAATATACAATATACCATCCATGGTACCCATGGAAGTAAGGGACAGAGCTACCCATAATTTAAAAGATGGCCATGAAGTTTTACTAACATTCTGCAAATAGTCTTTACACCTAACCTTAGCATTCTTGATTTCTCCAGCATTCTTGAAGCCCTTTTAATCGAAGACTGATATTCATTCAAAATTATGGATTCACATATCACTGACACATGGAGGAATCCCATTTCATTTCACTTTATCTGGATCTCAAGTTCAGTCTAGATCTCTGAAACATCAAGTGTGCTCTCCAGCCCCTCAATCCAATTACAGATTCATACTATTCCGATTTTCTATTTACAGCTATACTCAGTTTTCTATCTGTTAATCACATTTTTGTTTTCGAGCAGCAAGAAAGAAGTTAATTCAGGAAATACACATCGTTGTCCCTATTACCTCAAGGAGCATTTAAAACTGAACAAATTCTGAAAGAGAACTTCTCTACCTCCTTATGATGCTGCCACCATTCTAACACATTCGGTGCTCCCCCTGCAATCATTACATCTTTAAATCAGTCCAGTTCAAATAAACAGTTTTTACAGTAAAACAGAAACCTTCACCTCTGCCAACCTTGTCCTCAATTGCCTTGGTTGTTTCTTTGCAAACATTCTAATTACTTCTGGAGTTTTAAAAGCTTGGCTGATGGCTGCTTGTATTGCCTGCAAGGAAAAGACCAAGAATGACCAGAACTAATAGTCAGAAGCTACAGCTGTGTGACAAGATTAATGAAGGCAGAAAGCATCATTAGTCTCCCCCATATCATTTGATAAAGAGAGCTTTTCTTTTTTGCGTGATCATGGAAGTAAGATGAAAAAAATATATGACCTTTATGCAGGGCTCGAAAAATCCACTAATCAGCACAACTACGCTGAGAAAGAGCTGTGAAACTTTTAATTACAGTCCAGGTCTTAATCTCTAATAATTTCCAATGTCTTCTTGATATTGGCAAATCACAAGTGGATGTTCTGTGCTATCGTTAGCAGTTTTAATGGCCACACAGATAATTACAGCTCTCCTAATGGTAAGCAGAATGTAAACGATGAGGTAAATCTCCTACTGTTATTCAAAATCCTCTATGGGGTATGAAAACTATTATGATTAAATCTCACCACAGTTAAGTTTGGACAAATCATGATCCCTCTGGAAACAAATCCCTAAAACATAGGGCTCAGAAGGAACACATCATGCTCTAATTAAACATTTGAAAAGAGAGAAAAGAGATCAAATGTTTGGAAGTCAGCATAAAAGATCAATTAACTACAAGAAATTAAAGCTACACAGTCACTCTTACAGTTTTTCACTTGGAATGGTATGAATCTCTGAAATATAAACCTGCAATATGAGTACAGGAAATGCTATCTTTATACATTCTAACAGGCAGTCATTAATTTTATTTCTCATTATATATATTCTCCTGGATTGTCCCTCATACCTTTTAAATTAATTTGTATAATTTTATGTTATTTTTTAATATTAAGGATCTGATATATTTAGTCTCTGCAGTTTCCCACAGTTTTTTCTACAGTGTTATGGTTATAATTCATCAATAATTTTTTTTCTTTAAAAATGAAGAGACCTAACCCAAGTTTTTATTAGTCCATGTGTATTAAATACAGAACTAGCTTTCACACGTACCTATCTAAAAATTATAATGAACCACTTGTATCTATTTAAGAATTATAACGAACCACCTGTATTTATTTTCTGTTTCACTGAGTCCAGGAGAACGTGAACTACTGTAATAACATATCATCCTTACCAGTTGCATCCCACTGAGCTCGTCCACCAAAGTCATATCTCCAGACATAATCTTCTTCAGCGAGTCATTGATCTCACTCAGCTGTTCTAGAGTTTCTTTTTTGGTCTCTTCATACTCATCTGCATCGAGCTCCTCTCTAAAGAGGATCCAACAAGACACATTAATTCATAGGACTAAACCTGAGATGTAACACTGAGAAAGTGCTATCAGGGAACACCATGAAGTGTGATTCCTCAGGTAGCAATGAAAACATTCAAATTATTCTGCTCTAGCCCTCTTAGCTTTTATTTAGCTGATGCATATGTAGCCCTAGCAACCCATGCACTTGGGGTACTCAACACTTAGTGCAATATTTAAAAGTGTATTCTGGATCTCAACAAAAATACGCAGCGAGATTGTCTTGCTCAAAGCTACCGTGAATTAAATTATCTGAAATCCCATCTCCTCACTTAAAAACCATAAATTTATTCAGGAATAACTGATCCTGCTGCCTAAGCTTTGCTCATTTCAAAGAATGGCACTGCCAAGCCTTAGCAGCCATAATTGTTCTTGAAAAAAAATAGATACTGCTTTCACAAGTTAGAATTATAGTCAGAGTACGCATCTAAAACTACACAGGATGTTTAAGTGCCAGTACTGAGGCAGAAAAAAGATCCTTTTTCCTTGGTAATTCAGTCTATCTCAAATTTTATTAGCCCACACAAAAAGTAACACAAAATCACAAGAAACAAATCACATGAAAATGTTAGGGAAAGTAAAAAAGCAAACAAAACCAAACATCCATAATTATAAACCAAAACAAAACAGATAGAAAAGCTATTTGCTAACTGCTACTAAAAAAGCCCATATGAAAACACTGAATTCTGTGAACAGCTATTAAAAGTCAAAAAGTCACACTCAAATATAGAATTTCAAATAAAATAGGAATGAATATTTCTGCCTGTTTTCCTTGAGAAGCTGATAAGTAGAATGACCTTAATAAAAAGAAAGGTTTTTAAAAATAATTCTTGCTACCTAATACAAACGTTCTAACTAATTTAAAAAACATAGAGCCATAGCAAAATACAAGATAAAACAAAAAACCACAAGATTTTTTAAGAAGTACCACTTTCTTCTGCCAACCGCTTAAGAAAATTATTACTGTATTAGAGGAAAGCATCTATTTTTATTACCTGCACTCCTCCAGATCTTGAAGCTGCTGCATTAATCTATCCAACTGCTCTTCCAAGTTTTGTTTTAGTTTACTGGTCTCTGTTGTTCCTCTTGAAGCCATTCTCTGTTTTCACATGAAGATTTTAAGTTGTTACATGACACTCCTAGGAGAAAGAAGATTTCATTGTTGTGTATCAACAACTTAAGACTTATTTTAAAATGCTTCAAGTATCAAGAGAATTATGCAATATCTTGATGATGGAATGTCTAATCTAAACACCTGGAGATCCTCGCAGTGGAAATACAGAAGTGTTAGGCTGGGTCTGCAGGGTTGTTCTCTGGGAAGCAAAAGGCAGTTCAGCACTGTAATAACTCACACAGCCACAGCACATGAAAACAAACTGCTTTGAAACCAAGCAATTATTACTGAAATACCGAGGTCCCGCTGTGCAAAACAGATTCTACATTTCAGCTGCCCCTTGGGAAACTGTTTAAGGGACAACAACCAGGGTGCAGGTGTCTGAAGCCTCAGACAGAATCAGGAGCTGTAGGAAACCAGAGCACTCCAGAGGCAAATCGGCGCTTCTTCGGGTACCACACGGGGCAGCAGGCGGCCCAGGGCAGCGACCGGGGAACATCCCTGGGCAACCCCCGGGGGACACCCCTGGGCAACCCCCGGCTCACCGGCAGGTTCCGAGGTTGGCACCAACGCCAGCGGCTCCAGCAGCCGGCAGA